TTGTAGTTAGTAGTGGTTCATAGTGATAGCTGATTTTTGGTAAATGATAGTTGTAATTAGTGACAACTGATAGAATACAACTGCAACAGGCTAATCATTTCATTGGCAGAAAACATTTACATTTTGTGGAGGCCGTCGTCACTTGTGGTGTATGGTCTGCACCCGACGCTTTCTCGTTTTTTGAAAGGGAGGTAGATATGGTCTCATCGCATTGAAGCGGTTGCGTTCAAAAAACCCTTCTAGTTACGTCCTTTCCACGCCATCACTATCAATCGCTGTTGGCCCACTAATTTGAACTTTTGGGGTTGTTCGAGATAAAATAAAAATAGGGTGAATTGCTCATCCATTGAAATTCTGCAATCCGGCCATTTGAATTGCAGGTGTTGACGGCTTAAGAAGACAGTTCAGAGAGCAGTTAGCAGCATATAGAGCTCCAGACTACATATACAAGTTTACTGCTTTTGAAGCGAATCCTGACAAAAACAGATATTTGGTAAGTGACAAGCATGGGGTTAGCCACAAGTGTGCTGGGTTATGAGGCAAAACTTTTGGTTCCATGTGGCGTCGAACTATTACCTCTCACTTTACCTCTGCAAGCAAGAAAGTTAAAATTATCACCGGCTAAATTGTCTTTGATGGGTACCCGACAGGAGGCCCGTTGCGCGGCAACAAGGCAGAGTCAGCGCAGCGCGTACTGTAGTGATTTCGCGTCAAGTTAAATAGAATGTACCATTGTACGTCCTACATCGCACATCACGCGCTGCGACTCGTCCGCTGACTCTGCCTTCTTGCCGCGCGACGGGCTTCCTGTCGGGTACCCGTCTTTGATTCTAACTCAAGGGTTATGCAGTAGCACAATTGGCAAGCATGCCTGCAGTCCCGCTCACACCGAATCAGCTCGTACCCAACTCTGACTTGTCCTTGCTATTGATGCGAGGAGACTCTGAAGCAGCCATTACATTTTGTGCGCAACTTTGCTGGCTGAGTATTGGCCTCTCATTGATTACACATTTCAATGCCTTAGCAATCCTTAACAGAAGATGGATGCATGGCGCATTCCAGAACTATTATGCGTAACCAAAAGCCTCTGTTTAAGGATGTGGTTTGTTTGGATGACACAAGAGTACGGTTAACACTGGATGTTCCACCCAGTACTGATTACATCCATGCGAATTGGGTGAAATTCGAGGGACATGACAAAATATTCATCGCAACCCAGGTCTTCATGCTGATATCTCACGTGGAAACTCTGGGTTTCGTTTTTACTAGTAGTTTCAGCACTTCTCTAAAACCATTGTAGATTTTGGATTGATGCTTTGATTCATTTAAGGATGCCAACTTGTAATCTTACAGGCCCGGAATGATCTGTTGATAAGAAAGTCCTCACAGTCCACAATCCGTCCCACTGACTTGACTTCCTAGCGCCTTGTCTTATAACGGTGCCTGATGCATTTCAACAAAATTATCGGTGAACTCTAATGGACGATTGAGAGGACGGAGCCGCATCTACTCAGTTACCCTAATCTACTTGTTAAAGTTGTCCCCTGGCTTAGTGGAATTCCAGCAATCCGTTGTTTTCGCACGTTCACATTCGGTGTGCACTTCTTTCATATAGACAAACACTGCTTTCTGAACGATCTACTCTAGGCGAGGTCTCCACGATTAAGGATCGGAGGGTTGCGGAGGGAACTTACTAGTGAGAATGAAGGGAAGACTCCTAAAAGGGGAACCGCCACCAATTGCAGCGAATGAGCCCGGAATCTATTATGACCGTCCTCCCGCGGCCTAACGATCGCGTCATTGCTAAACCCATTTTGCCCTACAGCTAGAAAGACGCACTGACGCAATCGTCTCAGCGTTTTTTTTTGCAGTAGCAGAGAAAGCTTGTACGTTGGAAGAGGGCAGCACGACTTAGGAGCACCAATGCGGAACTCGGAAAATTAATCGCAACTTCTCGGTTCGGGAACGTTTCTCATGGTTTTCGCACACTCGCGGCCACTGACTTCTCTACCTTAAAGGCTAGCGATTACGTAATGGCAAATCGCATGCGGATTCATATTGCACGCTTACGTAATCCGCACATTTGTTGGTCAAGGGAAAAGCGAAGTGTAGCGGTTCCACGACGAAAGGTGCGCTGGTTGCTATGCAGGACTTTGTAAGCGCTCCGCCCACTGGTTTAGTTGGTGATTTGGACGAGCTGTGTTGCCAGCAGCAGCACAACTGGGGCAACTCGATTGGAGCGTGGCTAGGCATGCTGCACCACGCGTTGCGGTGAACTCGTCCATACGTCCGCTTTCTGAGCTGTTACCCGTTCATGAGTGAAAACCAACGGCAAAAAGGGGTCCTGTTTTGCGTTTTCTTGACGGATTTCTCTGCTTTTTTTCGCCACTGGCGTACCACTTGAGCACCACCATAATCTCTCTATAAATCCCTTCTAGAATCTATCGTAATCGCTGCCTTTATCTGGTAAGAATCCAATGTGGACTCTGCCTTGTTGTTACTACTTCAAAGTACAGGAGATGCAGGTTTGCACACTGACAGTTCAACAATCCCCTCTCGCAAATGCTTACACCTTCAGGGCGAATATTGTAGTTCCTGGGGAATTGTTCAGGGCATTTTGGATCTCTTTCCACAACCGACTTTTAATAAAGCATGCCTAATTTTGTGGACGATGCACTGCTTGAGCAAGAGTATAATCAGTGAATTGACATAATAAGCAGTGGCTATAGATTGATGAATGGCGGAAGTAATATACAGAGTGCCAGAGAGTCTTCATTTTTAAGACCGACTTGGTAACACTTCGCTGGTTCAGGCCGGATGATTTCGTCTGATGATTGAAGGGCAATTCCTTTCTATGAGATGTTTATGATGGCATCCTTCACGGGCGACGTCAGAATAATCTGTCTCGGTAACATGATGCAAGGGTTGATGGCATCGAAACCCTCGACGAATCCTGATCCATTCTGATGCCAGTGCTGGTCGGCAGGTTCTGGTGTTGCCGTAGCTCTTCGCAACGCTTCCCACCCATATTCTCACCCATGTAGATATCAGCGTGCTCTCTCGAACGGCGTGATCTCTCGCGTGTTTTGTCTTCTTTGATCGCCCTGCCTCGCCATCGTACCACATCCGACCTTATTGAAGGTTAAGGCCTTAATTTCAGCGTTCCCAAAGATTTCTCTTGCTTTCCTTTCCACTTTCAGGTCGTTCCGCAGCTCAGTCATCACTACGAAGCGCTCTTATCACCAGTTTCATCTCGGGGCTTGCCTTTAACTACAATTGATTTCCTCGAGGCTGATGGCAATGGTGAACGATTTCGGATTCTGGAGACGGCAAAAGCGCTGAACAGGGGCTTGCTTCTGCGTAAGTGGGGAAATTATAGGCATATTTCACCAAGGGACTTCGATCGATCATGGCACCCTGTGCAAATTGAAGCCTGCTTATGGGCGCAATGAGTTGGCTCTCCCCTTTTTTGGCCATCCCTGTGGGCAAGTGCCGCTGTTTACTACGCGCCTTATCCGGAGTCTAAGCCGTGGATGCTACGTATTCCATCCTCCGGGCCTGTTCTACCGTACTTGTTTGGAAGCTAAGGAACACTGGCTTGGGCATTGGCTGTTCTCCACTCCTTTTTTACCATCAGATCTATTAGTGCTATACTTAATAACAACCTGCTCCTGCTGCCACGAAAGGTATCTTCGAATGACACTTTGTTTCTGTTTCTTTATGACTGGGTTTGTTACGGCACGAATCATCTGCATCCTTTGTACCCGTGCTTTGTATACTCTAATATTTACACTAAATAGTAAATAAATGGATAAACAATTGCTAACTTTTAGACCGTTGAAGACGGAAAGATCAAATCTACCCAATACTGGCCACTTGAGCCGGGAGCGTTTGTAAGATTCGGAAAAATGTTTGTCAAACACAAAAAAGGTTTGACCAGCATGTTGATTGAACTTTTCTTGTCATTATATCACATTACCTCATAAAGTTATTTTAGGTAGAATCTGAAGGAAGATTTTTAATTTACACGGTTGAAGTACTGCCAGAAGGCTGCTCTAATTCTAACATAGTGAAGGTATTAAAGATTTTTTCGCAGTTCCTGCTCAATTTCACCATGCGCCACTGTTTCAGGTGCTGCATATGACAAGTT